AATGTGCTATGTTCAATTTCTACATTGTGGAACTTAGCAGAAGATATGCTTATTTTGTTGTATTGATCTATAACAGGTAGGAGTGAATGTGTTAAATTTAATTAAATGTAAGTAATTACTTCTGTAGGTATACAAAATTAATTATCTGCCCTTCCATATAAAGTATCTATGGTGGAAGGCAACCACAAGTTGTTTCTCCTTTGAACTACTCGACTATAAAGGAAATGGTCAAACCTCACTTATAAGCAATAGTCAATTTTTTTTACAATGATGTTCACCCTATACAAAGACCAAGAGCTACTTGAGGTAAGGGTTACAGAGTAAGATGCACACTTTATGGGGATATGTGGGGAAGACAACAGTTAACCCTAAACTTGAACAGGTTAAGATTGTAATGATCAGAGGAGGATCCATATGGGAGTCAGTTCTGCAAAGCATTGGTTCAACTGCATTGAATAAAGCTCCACTACAAGTTTAAATGTTCATCTGTTTTTCATTAGAGTGTCACATGATAACCTTACATGAGCAGGAAAATACAGACAGCCACAGTTAGTTCCCAATGGCAGACAAACTAGATGGACATCCCTTTCCTTATCTTTCATAGTTTGAGAGATACCGGCTACACATGACTATCTCTGGTGAAACACTTTGAAATTCAAATAGGAAGATTTTTTTTTTCTTTGTCAGCATTTATCCTTGCTTATTATTCCAACTATGTGATAACTTATTTGTTAACATAGGCAACTTTGTTTTTAATACCTTCTACTATGACTCTGCATTGTATTTGCATATTTTATATATATGTTGCAATGTTGCATTGCACACATAACATGGGGTCCTCTTGTCTATTTACACATTCTATTTCAGTGTTAATTTAAACAGCCAGCTCTAATAAGGAATGAATGAATTACAGTTGACTGCAGTTGGGATCATAGTGTCATTGTGAACTCCACAATCCTTTTGTTAACTGCATAGTAGGTATTTTGTCAGAGCTATATACAGTTTTGAATTTTATGTGGTCCTTCTAGACTGGTTGCCAATCAAAGCTAAAGAGCACAATCTAGTAATGTTAACTAAGAATTATTAAAAGGAATTTTACTTTAACTTCACCAATCATTGCACACTTAAAGGGATTAAAGAAAAACAGTTTTATAGAATACTGACTTTGTCATGTTAAGTATTTTAAAGAGGATTTTGAGGATATAATCAAATATTTCGATGTTTTGCTATGGGATCATGTTTAGCAAACCATTCTAGCAGACTATTACTATTGTGTAGTGAGTTTGATTCTCACTGAGTACTCTTTGTGCCAGACTAAGCTAAGCCTAGTAAATACTTCCGATAAAATATCTAAAAGACAATTTCCAAATTTACCCTTTTTTGTTAGTTTAATATCCAAAGTGTTAAATTTCTGTTACTTTTGAAAAGCTCAAAGGAAAATGTTTAATTCCAGGATGGGATCACAAAGCATAGAGTTTTAGCTTTGTAAATGAACTCCTGGAATAAATGTGGAAATTTAGGTTGTTATTTAATCATTTACATTTGGAATTATATATGTTGCCTCTTTTTTTTTTCAATTGTATTTCTATGTTTATCTATTCCCAAATGAACTGGCCAGATCTGACTGGTGAAACATGGGCATTTGTTTACAACTAAACCTAATTACACCACCTGATCATACACTATTGAATCAGCCCAAGCAACATGGTGGCTCCCATACAGCAGTAATATGATTCAAAATTTTAGATCTATTTTGTGATTTTTCATCAACAGATGCTTCAAATTTTATAATATTCTACAGATTCTATAATGGATTCAGATAATAAACAGCACCATTATAGGATGGTACTCTATTTCATACTGGCACACATATAAAAAAAATTCATGATATCAAGCTCTTGGAATGGTCACCTAAGTTAATCAACTTCAATCTATTAGTGAATTTGTAAAACATTATGAAAAGAAAAAAATGCTCTAATAAAACTGAAAGGTCATCTAAAAAAGTGATAAAGGCAATTTGAACACAAGAAGTCAACTATGATCTATGAAAAAGCTTTGCAGTATCAATATCTTCCAGAAACAAGGCAATATTCAAAAAACAAATATTTTCCATGTGAATACTAACTTTTCAAGCAAGATTTCTTGTCAAGTAAGTTCATGCACACAATAAAAGAATACAATATTTCTAAACTGAAAAAAGTCTTATTTATAGGAAATAGAATGGACATAATTAAAAAAGGAAAGCAACTATGGCAGTTTAATATGAAAAAAAATGAGAGAGTAAATAAAAAATATAGGTGTGCTAACCAGTTACCATTCATCACTGATCAGAATGTGTGGAGTGATAACTGGTTAGTGCACCTCTTTTCTTTTTTTTAATTTTATTTTTAGGATTTTTTTTAGAATTTTATATAGACTACCTTAGTTGTTTTCTATTTTTATCTTGTTTAATTATGTCCATTTTACTTGCTATAATTAAATTTTGTACCTCCCACAAACTTTTATTTTCATGATTTTCAGCTGGAGGTTTCAAAATTTTTGCAGAGTATATATGACTCTCTCTCTCTCTCTCTCTCTATATATATATATATATATATATATATATATATATATATATATATATATAAAAACTTTTAGTATTAGGTTATTTTATATTTATGGGTTAAAGTGCTCAGTATCAAGAACAGAGCATATCTATATATATAAAGTTGTAGCCTCTCTTTGTTTGTTTGTTATTGAACTCCTCCTAGAGTTTTGGAGATAAACCCCCATAACAATATATATTCTGAAACTACATTACCAAGTGTACTTGGATAAGTATATTTCATTTTAATCAAAGGGGATCCCCGGGGGTGCAACCCCCCCTCCACACACACACACACACACACACACACTCTGAAATTGTTTTTTCCTTTGATATAAATTAAATTTAAATTTGAACAAGGGAATGACTCCTAGGATACTTAGATAAGTATATTTCATCTTGATCAAAGGGGGTCCTGGGAGCACAAACACCTCTCTGAATTTTTTTTCCCTTTGATTTAAATTAAATTTAGATTTGAACAAGGGAATGACTCCTATTCAAAATATAGGAGGAGAAAGCCAGAAGATGGAGGTCACATTGGCAAGATCAAAATGAAACCATATGGACATCAAGTTGCACAAGAAATCACCAATCAGTGGGTAGTGCCTTAAAATACATATTTGTTGCAACAATTCAACTGTCATATCACTTGAAATCTGCTCATCAATTCATTCAATCAAGTATTGCATCAAATACCATTATTAATTCTATTCAACTGTATCTTTTTTTCAGATGTTATAATGCCAGATACACATATTCAGATTATTTTAAAGTGGGCCTCAAAATCTGCTAAAGTTGCTTTCAGAATTTGGGAAGTGAAAGAAAATGAAATATTTAAACATACTGCCCCAAACTGGTTTAAGTATATTCTTTTTCTGTGTATTCAGGATGTGAGTGATCATGGCTTTTGTCAACCTCCTTTATAGTACTTAGTAAAGTTTGTCCTTTTGCCATCTCTCATAAACCTTGTTCTGCCATCCATTTAGGGAAGGTTATGCACTGTTTTTCGCTATCCATCTTGCCTTCAGTATTCTGTAAGTATCAAATTCTCCAAGCCATCTTTCCTCATTATATGCCCTAGAAATTTCAACTGTCTCTTTCTGATGTTAATTATAAGTACTGCTTTTATTTTTATTTTCTCTAAAATTTCAGTCTATGGTATTCTCAGAATATTTCTGTAGAACCAGATTTTTGTTGATTCAAGTCTCTTCCTCATCTATGATGAGATTGTCCAGAATTAACTTTCATTTCAGAGGATTGATATTACATAACAGTTCTCTTTTCTTTGCTTCTAACAATTTTTCCTGTTTCTTAATACTTTACTTAGCTTTTAGAAGGCACCTTTCATTATTCCAATGCCCCTTCAGATTTCAGTGTCACATTTTCATGGTTACCCTCTGCTTAAGTATATCATGGGTGGTAAATTAGAAAAAAAAGCCTAAAAATAGACAACTGTCAGTCATTGATTATGTTGATTTAAAACACAAGGTAGAAGAGAACCCAGTCATCAACATTTGAAAACTTTGAAAAGAGCCAGGATTATCAAAAGATACCATATAGAGTGCATTACATACACATTGAAAAACAGGACTTTAGCAGGACAGTTATCAAATTTAACTAAGATTCTGCATGTTTAAATGTTTCACTAAATTTGTGAAATAGGTTTTATTGGGATGCTCAGGTATTTCTTGTTGGATAGCAAAAGAGAAAAACAAGTTACACCAGTATATCACAAATAACAAATTTATTTTGCATTATTTGCTTTATAGAACTTGAATAGTTTGATAATAGTGTACCAAGGAAAGTTGACTTGAAAAGTTCTTTCTTATTGTTGTCAGCTACTGGTTAATTTGGTTACCTTTGATTTTATCTAGTGTTTGGTTTCACCTTGCAATTGTGGTAAGAGAAGAATGAAATAGTCTGACAGGTAACTACTGTAGTTCAGGGTCACTGTCTGCATGGCTATGCCATTAAGTGTCCTTTTATAAAGTTAGCCTCCATAAAAGTGGCTTAGATGTATTTAGATGTATTCCTTTAGTTTTTTTTTTTTTGGCTGGATGAAAAACAGTTTTATTTTAATGTTGAGCCAATATAGGATATTGTGTGTCAAGCCAGAAATAGATTCCTCTGATGGACTTTTATTGCTTTCTAATTGTCAGTGTGTTAAAAGCTGTCAGAGTGAAAATTTCCATTAGGATTTTTTTCTTTTAATAGTTTCTAACAGGATATTCTTGATTTATGATGAGTTGGATATGAGAGAAATAGATGAATTTAGTTCTAATGATGATTTTTACTTTGGTAGCATTGGCAGTAGACCAAGTACATTGACTGTTGATGGCAATTCATACTATTTTATTTACATTATATTTTATATCCAGTTTCCATGGAAATGACCAAAACTTTATGTCACATCATATTGAAACACCAGTTCCCATATGATCACTAAAGTTAAGCAATGTTAAACTTGGTTAGTACTTAGATGGGTGATCACTTGGGAGTACCAGCTTGGATGTACAGATGGTGTAACAGATAATAGCTTGGAATTGTTAATCAGAGAGCCAAGTTCCAATTCACATTGGGTTTGTTATATCTATTTATGTGCAAATATCTATGAGAAAGGTATGAATTCATCTCTTCTTCCCCAGCTATAAGTTAATTATATAATACTTGTATCAGCAAACCATTATTACCTCCCCATAAAAAATTCTTACAATCTAAAAATATTTTCTGGCTTTAAATAATCTGCAAAGGGTTGATAAGCTATAATGAATCAATGAATCAAGAAGCAGATAATTATGATTAAAATATCTTTATATTTAGCCTGAGTATAATTCTATCAGAATATATATGGTATAAAGAGGTTAATTTTCAAAGAGAAGTGACAAACTGAATTTAACAGTAAAACTGGTGAAATCATATATAATAATGAGCATGTGGGACTTTTTGTTTATTTTCCTGTTTGTATTAATAAATTTGCTAATTGTTGGGTAATAATTGGTAACCTGGTCTCACTACACAAAATAAGAAAATCTCTTGTAACAGTGCATCCCAGATGATTTGGTTGCTTCCACTTCATCTCTGGGCCCCATGCCCACATTGTGATTTGAATAATCACTCAGGTCAACTAATGAAGATATTACTTGAAACATCCATGTGGATTAGAGATACATTTGTATAAATGTTGGCCCTTCTAAATAATGAAAAGAAACACATATTAGCCAAACAGTAACAATGACAAAGTTATAGAAGCAATTGAACCCTTCTCTTTGAATTTAAGAACCATGAGTATTTAGGAGTTTCAGTCAGTATATGCTCTATTGGATGTTTAGCAGTGAGAAGAGCAGGGTTTGTAAAATACCACATGTGAAATCTCCTGAGTCAAGGGAAAGTAACAGCATGTTCATTTCACTTATAATCACAGAGTGGCCACCAAATGCTTCCTCTAACTCAAGTTTTGATGTTAATGGGTGCTTGGAAAAAGAGAAAAAATATCTTGGTTTTCACCACTCTCCAAGGCCCACTACAGGCATTAATATATCTGTGATATAATAACACCTTAACAAAACAGAAGAAAGGACTAGAATACCCCAAAGAAATTAATTCCATAAAAGAGTTTTATAAACAACACTGAAGTGCACAAATATAAGTCATATTAAAATGTAATATATGAATATATACATATATGCCACAAATTGTCCCACATGGAGAAATTAAAATGCATATAAATAAAAAAGGAAAACAGTATTAGAAGAGGACAGATAAAAAGATCTTACTCATAATGTCCCCTAGAGGGACATTGATAAGTCTTAGGTTCCTATTTAGGATATAAAGTCATTGCTCTGTCTGCCATGGTCAGCTGATCAACAACTGACTACCACATCTTTCCCCATTATGAGCCAGGCTGCAGATGAATATTCATACAAATTAAAGATTATGTGACCCTCAAGGGCTCCTTAATATATTTCACCTCTTCCTGTCAAAAGGGAGATAATCACTTTCTGCATTCCTACAATATGCATTTATATTATTTATGTTGATTGACTTTTACCCTGCAAATTATCTGTTCTCTAGTATAAAGATATGTTTTAGCGAAAGTGTGGACAATTTTTGACTTACCATCATAAATACACAACTTAATTAAATGTGCTGGTAGTGTTGTTTTTTTGTACTGACATCATCAAATACTATACTCATAGCTTTTTTTATATGCAATCATATATTTAATAAATTTTATTGTGTAAAAATGATACATGCATTATTCACCCACTGTAATCAAAAACATTGTACTGATTTCTTTTCAATATGATACACTCTCTTCAACTCCGACCTGTGATTTGTCATTGTAAAAAAAAATATCAATATCAGTCAGATACCATAAACAAGAGCCTCTTTCTTTTATCATAGTGAAATTAGATTCATGACTTTTTGAAATTAGCACTGAAAATTTTTATGATGTTCTTGAAATATAATATGATGTAGCTGCCTTCAACTCAGCAAAATTGTATTCTTGACCGATGAAATTACTGAAGAGTCTTGTGGTAACTGAAGACATGCTCACTGCGATATAAGCATCATTTTACCATATTAATGGAATTTAAGAAACTTAAAAAATTATAACATTAAATTAATAAGAAATTTATAAAACTATAAAATTTCATTGTTATGGTAACACAAGGTACGCTCAATGCTACTCTAAGTGAGCAAACATTATGTTACCATAATAACAGAATTTAAAAATTTAAATAAAATTATAACATTATAATTTATATATAAATATATATAATTATTTTTTTAAAAATATGATTCCATTGCTACATAAGAGTTCTCATGTTTCAAAAACAGAAGCTAAAAACCTCAATTTCATTTATAGAAATTAAATTAAATTAAAGCAGCTGGTTCTTTTTCAAACTCAAGTGAATTTTGGAATAACTGATTTTAAAATTTATGGAGTTTTATAAGCATATACATTCGTAATATTAATTTCTAGGGATATGGAGAAAACTAATCATTTTAATAAGGGGTGGTAGGGTATTCATTTTCACTGACAACTATTGTAACAACATATTAGTTACTTTAGAAAAGAGGTTAAGTCAAAGTAGGGTCAGGGTGCCTTTTTTCAAATGAATGATGACATCCGTTCAATGCATATCGTCTGGTCTATTTCAATGACAGAAATTTTTTGGAACTTTTGTTACACCATTAAATGTGTATTTGTATACATAAGGATTTTTTTCTAAAAGGGTTGTTTGTATATGAATACGTTGTATTGAACTACATTCTTATGTAGTGATGGAATCATATTTTTTAAAAAATAATTATAATATAGGCTCTACTGTTGTATTGAGCACTGTTTTTTAAAACTAAAAACAAAGAAACTAAAGAACTTTGGATTATTAACCTAACAGTTCTATTTTTCTATATACTTACACACACATGCACACACACACACACACACACACATATATATATATATATATATATATATATATATTCAATAAATTAAGAAAAATTCAAGTGACTTATCTGATTAGTCAACTGAGTTTCACATCAAATTTTATCAAACATCTGGCCCCAAAGTGCATTCCAATGTAAAACTTTTGAGTCAGCTATAAGATAAGTCACTTGAACTTTTCTTAATTTATTGAATATTATAACTCTAGTTATCTATTGGGAGCTTTTTGGCAGACATTCTACTAACTTGAAAAAACATAAAATTCTTATAATTTTCATGTATTTTCTCAATTGCATTATTATTCTTATTATATATATATATATATATATATATATATATATATATATATATATATAATGGATTTTAAAAAGTAGCCTACCTACTATATTCAAATGTTTTCTATCTTTACAAACTGTTTTGAATGTTTGTCAAAGACCACATAGTACAAGACACTTGTGTTTCATTAAAATAAAAGTTTTTTTGTTTTTTTTTTTTTTATCAGGCAATTAGATCCTAAAACTTAACATTCTTCTTGCCAAAACTGCTGCTGCCTTGTTGTCAAGCTTGGTTTCCTATGCTACCATTTCTTTCTTTAGTGTTGCCTTCCTTTGTCACTGCAGTGTTCTTGCTATGCATCAGTGTTATTAGTTTCTGATATTCCTCATACATTATTTTCTTAATTAATCACTTTCATATTGTATGTATATATATATATATATATATATATATATATATATATATATATATATATATATATATATTTCAGGCCTACTGAGGAGGCCATCATAGCCTAGCATATACACAAATTCATCCAGACTACTGATTCACCAGAGGTTCTTCTTTGTCTACTATTTTTACTTCCTTCTATGGGAGTTAGTTGGCACACCTTTCTTTCCATAAATGATCAGCCATGCCTGATTTTATTGTCTCTTCCCTAATTACAGCTTTTTGATGTACTTCCTGGTTTGGTATTCTTTGCCATAACTGCAAAACACATAATGCATAATTGATCATGTCTTCCTCTGTATTGAGCTTAACTCTATAAAGTTAACATCTACAATTATAAATTGTTTAGAAATAAATTGAGTCTGGAAAGAGATAAGCTTAGAGGATCAATGATTATGAGTTTTAATATTATTTCAATACTGCTTTCGAGAGTTTGAAATTTAATAATGAATAAAATCCTGACTTATTGAAAAGTATTAACTCATGTCATTTTAATGACTATCACATGTTTTTATGCCCTCATCTTATGAATATAAATGATATATTCCTTATATATCATCAGTTTGATTGCTTGATTGATTTTCTACAGCTTATCAACCCTTTGCAGGTTATTTAAAGCCAAAAAATATTTTTAAATTGTAAGAATTTTTTTTGGTGATAGATGTAATATTGTTTATATGCCTAATGAACATTTGTCTTGCATTACAACTCTGTCCATATTTATGCAATCATTGGAGTCCCACAGGTTAATACTGAATTTTAACTTTTTTTTTTAAGCATTTCACCCCTAGCAAGGCAGGAATCCACAAGCACACAAGGGGTTATAGAGGATTTGGAGTGAGAGCAGATAGGAATGATAGAGGAAAGGATGAGGAGAAGAATAGTGGATAGATCAAGGCAACTGGAGATGTCGATTGACATTACATTTGAATAGTTGGAGATTATAGCTATCAGGGAAACAGGAATAGGGAAGGGAGTTCCACACTGCATATCCGTCTCTGGATTTTATCGACCTGTAATACCATAACCCTGGAGCTGGCAAAAAAACCAGGATGCCAAATCCTATCAAACGCTTTGGAGATGTCTAGGGCCACGGCACAAGCTTCTCTGTTATTCTGAAGAGCTTTGGTAAACAATTTCAGTGATACCCATAAGCACATCAGCTGTAGATCGGGCAAAGCGGAAGCCATATTGCTTGTCTGAGAGCAGATTATGGGATGTAAGGTGGTTAACCACTTTGGTGTTGATTAAAGCTTCAAAGACATTGCCAAAGAGGGGAAGGAGACTGATAGGATGGTAATTAGAAGGGTCAGAAGGGTCGCCGGAG